CCCAAAAGTTGTATCTTATACCAGCTAAAATATATACATTTCTTGAACCAGGAGTATTCTAGTGTGCTGGAAAAACAACACACCTAGATTTGGCAACAGAAGATCTAAGTTTAGGCACCCACCAGCACTAGCCGTCTAACTGAGGAAAAGTGAAGTCTTAGCTTCTTCACCTATAAAATGAGAAATATACATGTCTTCTTTACTGAGAGTTATGAAGAACAAACTAATTACTAGGGTGTCTGAACACCTAGAATGTCTGCATATAACAGACACTCAAAGTACTTGTTAAATAAACAGATGACAGGGGATCATATATATATAAGTTACCTGTAAAGTTCTGGGAAAATTCAGGAGGGGAGGGAGTAGTTTCCAGAACAGTACAAAAGGAGAAAGGCTTTAGCCTCCCCCCACCATAAGCCACAGAAGATTTTAAATATAATTTTAAAATTTTTAAATTAATTTAAAATAATTTTTTTTTACATAGCAATAATTTGCTTCATGGACTTCCTAAGATCAGTTAGAAAAATGGCAGGAAAAAACTGTTAAAATTTGTTTCAACATGAAACAAGATTTAAAAAAAAAAAGCTAGAATCTAGTGAATGGCCTCATATTTCCCTAAACTAATTTAAACACCCAACTGAAATACCAGAATAATTTTTTTAACTTGATAAATGATAGCAGTTTTCTTACAAAAAATAAACATGTGGGTCAGGCACGTTGGCTCACACCTGTAATCTCAGCACTTTCGGAAGCTGAGGCAGGTGGATCACTCGAGGCCAGGAGTTCGAGACCAGCCTGTCCAACATGGTGAGAACCCATTGCTACTAAAAATAAAAAAATGAACCAGGTGTGGTGGTGCAGGCCTATAATCCCAGCTACTCAGGAAGCTGAAGCATGAGAATCGCTTGAATCCGGGAGGTGGAGGTTGCAGTGAGTCAAGACTGCATGCCACTGCACTCCAGCCTGAGCGACACAGCAAGACTCCGTCTCAGGGGGGGAAAAAAAAAAAAGAGATAAAAGAAACATGAAAATAAAGCCGAGATATGAGCGGGAACTAGCTCTAATAGATATGGTAACACAGAATAAGTGATAAAATATATTTTGTGTAGACAAAAGAATGGTGAGACAAGGTAAAAGTAGACTCTT